AAAATATATTTATAAATACTGGGATACTTTACCTATTAAAATGTATTTAATATGTGTTACACTTAGATAAATATATATGAGAATAAATTTAATAAATCATTTATGTTTAAATTATATATATTCAAATTCAAGTTATCTCAAACAGTTGTTCTTAAATTCATATAAAAATGTAAATCAATAAAAAATAATTCCATTATAATTTCTCTGTGTGCATTTGCATGCAGCATTGCATTGAAACAGAAAGCGAACGCATGAAGCTCATTTCAAATTCCATTTCGAAGGTGGCATAAATTAAGTGCATTCATAATCACAATAATGCTATTAACTATCTGCCCTTTGTCCTCTGACCTCTGGGCAAACCCACACAGAGCGGAGTCCTTAAACGCACAAGCGAATGCAAGGGGAACAATGAGAAAAGGACTTACTGCTCGAAGGCTTAGCCGTGGCTTTGACATTTTAATTTATGGCACGGATTTGCCAGCCATTCAGTGGGTTACGGGCTAGTCCGCGAAATAATTGCGAGCTTTGGAAATAAATTTTAAACGTTGATATTTAATTTTTAATGAAATGCCCCATTTGTTATATTTGCAACAGGAATAAAAATTAGCTTCAAAAAGAATTTAAATTAATTTTTTATTTATTTCTTTTGATCTCATGATAACAATCTTTATATAAATAATAAAGAAAACTGATTTGAATACACCAACATCCTATACCAATTGCAGGCATAGTGTGACCAAGGCAATGATGTGTGAAATGTGCGCAAAATGAACGTAAGGAGGAGATTTGTCATCAATGCCTTACACCAACAACAACGATTTCTAATAGCTTGCGACGCAGACAAACAGACACACAACATGGACAGATCGTTAAAGTATTCAAGAAGTCAAAGGACTTGACAACTTTGTCAAGTGAGAGAACAAAAGGACTTTGCCGCCTGTCGCCAAATGCAGCTCATTCATCTTCGTCACGAAACTGGGGCCAAGTTTGCATTTAAATTGGTAATTAACGCAAATGAAAACGAAAGTCACGCAAAACAAAAACAAAATGCGAAAAAAAAAACAGCAATGTGCACAAACACAAAGACAGATAGAGCATCAGAGAAAGAGAGAGATAGAGTGAGCGAGAGTGCGGAAACAACTTATTACGTAAAACGGAAACAATCAACTACACAAAAGATAACAAACGTGCTGGGCATGAAGGATGCGAGTAAAAGCAAATGATAAAGCGCAGAGCAGAGCTTAGCTGAACGAACGCCAAGGCAGCACACACATTGGCAACTGAGAACGTACCGTTACTGAGCGCCAAATTGATTGCCTGGCTACAAAGAATGGAGAGAGCACTGAAGCGCCGAGAGAGAGAGAGGCAAAGCGAGCGACCACTTACATAGATGGCAAATGTCAGAAAAATGTCACCCAGCGTAATGACAATAACATTTATACTATTCCTTTTGTTATTGGTTCCGCTGCTTCTGCTGCTGCTCCTAGTGACGCTGCTGCTGCTGTCGTTGCTGCTACTTCTCTCAGCTGCTGACTCTCTCTAATGTTGCTGCTAGTGTTGGTGACTCTGCTGTTGCTGCTTATTCTATTTCTAGTGTTGGTGCCGCTGTTCCTTCTCTTCTACTGCCGCTGCCTCTGCATCCGCCAGTGCCACTGCCACCGTTATCATTTCATTAAATCGAAAGAGCGAATAATGAACAAGAGACAAAGCGCCAAAAATTCGCTGGGTTGAGCCCTTTGCGACCATCAGCAGTGAGTGCGCTGCCAATTGAATGTAAATCAAAAGTGGCTCCATACCAAATGAATATGAATGAAGGCAAGAGTGAGATAGACACAGATGCTTGTGTTAGATTGAGCGAGTGAGAGTGAGAGCGAATGCCGAAACAGCTGCAATCAGACTTCTGTTGAGCAGGTTCCAATGAAAGTTTTAGGGCGTCGCAGAGACAAAATGCAAAAATAAAAAATTTAAAAAGAAAGATTGAAAGATGTTAATGAAGCAATCACAAAAATGACATGCAATTTAGCTGATGTCAATTTTACAGATCGAAGAGGAAATGGAATATATAGAGTGAGAGTAATTACAGTTGAATTTTAAGGTCTTTATTAGAAGTGCCAACTGCTTTAAATTAAGTTGATTATGTTTTAATGGAAATCAAATGAAAACATCTATATTTTATGTATTTGCACACGCTAGAACTACTATAATAAATAGGGATTTTTAATATGAGAACAATTTTATACTCAAGTTCCTAAATCCATTGCAAAATATTCGAAACTATTCAGACCCTAATAACACATAAGTGAACATAAATTGTAAATTGATACTTTAGCTGTCCAAACTGAACCTCAAAACAGTCAATATCAATTACAGTCGAAAACAACTTTCGGTTTTCAGGGGCCATTCGCTGTCAATCAATCAATCAAATCGCATACACACACAAATTGCGGTGCATTAAACTGCACTACATAAACAACAAATGGGGCCATTCGGGTACATAAATAACTCACTTACAAAGCTAATTACACTTAATACAATTTTATTGGCCCAACTGCAGCCCGATATTGATATTGATCTCAATGGGTTGTTCTCGTTGTTCTTGTTGTTGTTGTTGGCATGCAACATTTACAATAGCAACAAAGTGCAGCGACATTTGCCACCGGCGCACAGCAAAATTGATAGAAAAGTTCACAATTAGCGCCGCTGCCAAAGGAAACCAAAGCAAAGCCACGTAAAACAGTTCCAGGCAGACCGAGCGGCACCCACGCAGACGACACACAACGGGACAGTGGGACAACTGTGACATTTTCCTTGACAAAATTTCAACTACTATACAATGTATTTTCTGAATTTACTTGTTGCACCTTATAAAGCGCATTTAGCTATATATTGACATACTATGTTAATTTTTATACAATTATTATTGTATTTTATCAGGGATGTTAGATAGATGAGAGATAAATATCTAATTTGTATAGCCAATGTGGAAATTTCTGTGTGGACAGACGCAAAGGCGCTCAAGACTCGAACAACTAAGCTGTTTCATATTAAATCACATCTAGCAAAAGTTTGTCTTACTTTATATGGCAATATCTCCTATTTTTAAGAACTTATCTTATTCAGCTTTTTCAGTATTTTTCAAATCAACTCCCATTTCTCTCATTTTAAATATTTATTTCAGCTTTTTTCTACATCCACTTTTATGGCACGTTTTTGTTTGATACTCCCCACTGTGCGACAAGTCACCAGCTCGTGGCGCGTGGAGCAGCTTAGTGCCTAAGAACCAGCCAAAGACCTGTCATCAGCTCCAAGCTGCCAACTGCCAACGCATTTTAAGTGTTGCAGGCGTTTAGTGTTGGGAAATACGGCAATGGGTAGTAGAGAAAATACAATACAGTTTTGCAGTTAATTGCAGTGAAAGATTTTTTTTAGCCAGGGCTCAAATAAATACAATAATTTAACAGGTTCATGGAAAATGGAAAAGTTAATTTAGCTTCCATGAAATAAATGAAAAAAAAATAATAATAAT